GCACCTATAAGCTGGGTGAGGCAGTATGTGCCTGTAACCACAGCACTTGGGAAGCAGAGGCAAAACTGCCAGTTGGAAGCAGATGGGGCTACACAGCAAGCAAGACCACATCTTAAAAAAAGCAAACAAGCAAGCATAAAAGCATCTACATATGTGAATTATAACTCAATACGCTGTTATTTTGAGAAAAAAAAAAGCAGCAGATAGTGGCAAATACCTGTAATTCTAGCACTTGGGAGGCTGATGTTGGCCTATCTCAGAAAACTTAGGAAGAAAAAAGTTCCTATAACTTATATCTTAACATTATTCATTTGGATTAGATGTAAGAGCCTTCTAGATGCCTAATGACTGGTAGCCTGTGGCATGAGTCATATTCAGAAACCAGCACAACAGGTTCTGGGCATTTAAAGGGGAGGTGGACAGGGTAAGAATATGGGCACAGGGCTCGACTGCCAGGTCATGAACCCTCCCTCCACTGCACACCGACTGTGTAAGCTTGAGTGGACTCCTTCATTTCTTTGTGCTCTATAGTTTCCTTGTTGTAAAAGAGAAATTTAGTAGAACGTTCATCTACTGAATTCTGTCATTATTAAAGGAAGGAAAACACGAAAAGTGGCCAGATGCTTCATAGAGCCAATAACATGCGTACTATTGTTCTAACACGATTCAGATGGTGGGCATGGCAGTACAGGCCTATAATCCCAGGATTTGAGAGGCATAGGCAGGAGTTCAAGGGCAGTGCAGTTTACATGAAAGCCTGTCTCAAAAGACTTGGGGCAGGAGCAGGGAAGACACTACGGAGGAGAGAGAGCTCTTTCTCCACCCCCCCACAAGGGCTGAGCCTAGGGTTGTGCACATTCAAGTGCTCTACCACTGAGCTGCATTTCCCAGCTCAATTTTACCTTTAAAGATGGTCTTACTATATTTCCTAGGGTAGTTTTGAACTTGTGATCTTCCTGCTTCAGCCTCCTGAGTAGCTGGGATACACGCCTGTGTCAATGGGCCAGGTGAGGGGAGCCCCTCCTATAACCACTGGAACACCATGTTATGGAGAAGCGGCTTGGCCTGGACTGAGGCTGTGGAAGAATATGAGCAGATCTGGGCCAGAGGCCCACATAGGGAAGGAGAGAGAGCGATGTCAGGATGACCAGGAGGCTTTAGACCTTGAAGACCACGTCCACACAGTGGCCCCAAACCAGGAGACTCAAGACCTGAATTTCCTGTGAAGTTGGTTCTTGGAGACTTAATGCATTCGCTGATAAAGACCTTAGCAAGATGAGGCCAGAACTCAACTAGAGAGGGATCAAGGAGTCAAATCTGCTCTTTTCTGTGCACAGAAACAAGCACTTCAGCTTATCTCCACCTGGACCAGGTGTGTTCCCTTGCACTGTGGTCGTTGTTCTCACTAACATACTAAGAACTTCTCACACCACCAATGAATAAGTATCACTCTCCTGCACTTGAAGGGGGGAAAACTCGATGGAGGGAAATGTAAGTGTACAGGGTCTGCCCTAAACATTCAGACAGTAGATCTAAACCGCCCAGCCCAGTGCTTGAATGCAGGTCCCTCCAGAAAGGGCAGCCTTACTCACTTGCCTGCCTTCTCGACACTGACCTGGTCATCGGCAATGGCTTTAGCAAACCGAGCACAGTCCAGCTGTAGGTAAATATCTGTCAGTTGGTCCAACAGCTTCTTTGGTTCAAAGCCGTACTTCTCTGGGTTTTCAACTTTCAGGTCCCGGCACTTGGGTCCACACAGCTGTTGAAGGTTAAAGTTCAGCATGGCAGCCAATCGAGGTCCAAGTTCCTAGGAAATCATAGGATAACAGGACAATTTAGGATGTTGAGATAAGCCAGATGGGACCAGAAACGCTCATCTTGGGAGGAACAGGCACTGGCTGGTTTAATGATCAAGGAATCCATTAAATGTGCTGAGGACACAAACTAAACAAAGACTCAAGCATTTCCCCCATTTCTTATCTGAAAATGCTAGTACATACCAAGTGTGTGTATGCACACACACAAATACAACAAAGGGCTTCTTTTATTCTTTCAATATTTTATTTATTATTATTTTTTTTCTATGTGTATGAGTGTATTTCTTGTCTAATGTAGGTAAGTGCACCCGTGTCATGCAATGCCCACAGAGATCAGAAGAGGCTACTGGATCCCCCTGGGACTGGAGTTACGGACAGTTGTTAGCTGCCGTGTGGGTACTGGGATTCAAACCTGGGTCTTCTGCAAGAGCAACCAGTGTTCTTAACTGCTGAACTATCTCTCCAGCCCCAAAGGGCTTCTTTTTTAGGGAGGGTCTTTTTGAGACAGGGTCTTCCTGCCTCCCAAGCACTGGGATTAAAGGCGTGCAGCACACATCCAGCTACGCTGCTTTTGAGCAGAAAATCTGATATAGACCAAAGATCAGATATTTACTATCAAAAAGATTTCCACAGCTTCCCTTTAAGTAATAGGGCTCTCATGAAATAAATTCAACACATACTCAGTTTTACAAGTTGTACACAAAGTTCTGCTGTGTTCAGTTGCAGAGAAGTTGTGGTTAGGAGTGGTTAGGGTGGGGTAGGGTTAATTTTTCTTTGACAAGGACCATGTTTTAAGCCAATAAAGAAGGTGAAAGTGGCGGGCAAAAGACATGGAAATCCGTCCGGCACAGTGAGCCAGGCCTTCATCCCAGCACTCGGGAGGCAGAGGCAGAGGCAGAGGCAGAGGCAGGCGGATCTCTGTGAGTTCAAGGCCAGCCTGGTCTACACAGTGAGGTCCAGGAGAGCTAGGGCTACAGGGAGACCCAGTCTCAAAAATAAAAACAAACACAAACACACAGAAATGGCAATCCTAAAGCAGGCAGATAGTGACTCAGGTGTATAATGGGCTGGGAAGAAACTTTTCTTTTCAAAATGAAAAATTTTAAACTAAGGATAGGCTTTATGATAACTGTCTCAAATAATTCACTATAGTTTCTAGCTTTTTAGAAATCAGTAACACCACCACATGAAATAAAGTGTGATTTAAAGCAGGAGTTGAAAAAACACAACCTGTGACCAAGTCCAGTCTGGTGCTTCCTTTGTAAATAAAGTTTTATTCAAATATGGTCCTTCTTATTTACATATAGCTTTACTTAGACGATAGTCAGGCTCGTTTATGTCTGGGCTGTGACTGTTCTGTGGGGAGAACAGAGCTGAGAAGCTGCCATAGGAACTACATGGTCTACCACAGCTTTCAACCACTTACTATCTGGCCTTTGTAGAAAATGTTTAAAGTAGGGCTGGAGAGATGGCTCAGGGGTTAAGAGCACTGACTGCTCTTGCAGAGGACTGGGTTCAGTTCCCAACACCCACATGATGGTTAACCACCGCTTATAACTCCAGTTCCAGGGGATCTGATGCCCTCTTCTGACCTCTGAGGGCACTGCACATGTGGTGCACTTACATACATGGAGGCAAAACACATAAAATAAAATAAATAAATTTAAAGTACTCCCTTATTGCTAGTCCTTAAGGGAAGTGGGTATGTGGACAGTGAGTTCTGCTTTCCTCATGCTGCCCCTGCTGCTGTGCTGAAATCTGCTTAGCAAGAGCCAGCAAGTGGGGCTGGAGAGATGAGCAGCAGTTAAGAGCACTTACTGCTCTTGTAGAAGACCTGGGTTTAGTTCCCAGCACCCACATGGCAGCTCAGAACTGCTTGTAACTCTCATTCCAGAGGATCTGATGCCTTCTTCTGGCCTCTTGAACACGTGTGGTACTTACTCTCACACACTCACATACACATAAGGTCCTCAGGTTCATCTCCTGACTCCTTTCTACCCTTGTATGGGTCACAGTATCTGCAGTCACACAGCTCAGTCTCAATGTCAGAAACAGGACCCAGGCTCTTATCAACCCCAAAAGTCAACAATTCAGACGACCTTAAATCTGCCCCAGCCCCAGCCATGCTTCTCATTCGCCTTTGGCCCTACAAAGCTACTTCTAAGAGCAGCAAGGGTCTCATGTCATCAGTCATTCTACTAATGTCCTCCAAATCTGAATCTGTTACTGAAAACTTTTCCTAGACATAAAACATAGAAACCAATAACGATGAAAGTACGCCACAATTCAATAATCCAATGTGCTGTATAAACAGAAAGAACAAAGTCATTTGGAAGTGAGCATTTAAGACTACACAGTGACGTGAGGCTTCATTTCAGTCTGTGAGAGTGCTGTGTCTCAAAGAACATGACCGGGGACAAATAAGAAAGAACTTCATTCACTGGTTGTTGTGATGCTAAAGTTTCCAGGATTTCAACAACTGTGGTAAACTGTAAGTGCTGGGGTCTGGATGTGGAGCCAACAGGTAACACGAGTACCTCACAGTTTCTACTCACCGGCCTGAGGAATGGCTTCTGGACTTGCTTGGTGAGGATATGGAACATGTCCACAGTTTCAGTTGCCAGGGCGAGGTAAGAGCGAGAAACACGTTCATCCTGAGCAAGCTGAGACTGCCGGGCCTGCTGCTGATCCTAGGAAACATCAAACAGGTGCCAAAGAAATCTCAGTACCAGCCATCAGCTCACAAGACACCAAGTAGAGGGACAGACAATCAGCTCCTGACTGGAAAAGTGTGATGAAGCCAACATACTCTGGGAGTGAGATAACCAACCTCAGCAGCAAATGGTCTAGAGAGCCCAGTTCTCTCCTCTAGCACTAGAACACTTCGGGACTTATCAGGTGGCTGCAGGTCACACCCAGGGCCACATGCTCTGCCACTGACCCACACCCAGCCCTGGCCCACTACTGAACTCTGAGCCTTGGTTTTCTCAATGATAAACAGCCACCCTCAGGTTCATGGAGGATGAATTACATAACAAACGCAGTGTCCGTGCACATATAGGGACCACAGAGGGTCATTTATTCCCCTTAAAACCAACTTTCATTCAGTCATACCATTTTGAAAAGATGAGACTCGGTGTGCTACAGTATAGAGGCCTATTCAGCTTGCCCCTACAGTGAGTCTGCAGATGGTTATGCCTTTTGATTTGTGACTCTCTACACTGTCAGACTGTCATCCCTCACAACTATCAGCACACTTGTCCCTAGCACTATCCTTCCCCCTCTGTTCTGCCACAGGCTGGGAAGTGAGGTAATAAAAGGAGTCTGATTCATGGGGAAATTGAGTGGTACACTAATGGTTCTGTACCCACTCATCTTGATAGAGTCACCAGGTCCTTAGTTTTAAACATAGGGTCTCATGTAGCACAGGTTTGTCTCTAACACACTGTGTAGCTAAGAAAGACCTTGAACTTCTGATCTTTTTGTCTGCACTGCCCTAGTGCTAGGATTACATGCATCCACCACCACACCCAGTTTATCAGACTCTGTGTGTTTGTGTGTGTACACACATGCTCACATACAGGTGAAAGCCAGAGCAAAGCCCAGGTGCCATTCCCCAGGTACCAAACACAACTTTCTTAAACATTTTAAAATTTTATTTTGTGTATGAGTGTTTTGCCTGCATGTATGTAAGTGTTCCATGTGTGCCTGATGTCTGTGGAGGCCAGAAGAGGGCACTGGATCCCCTGGAACTGAGTGTTACAAGTGCTGAGAACCAAACCCATGACCTTTGAAAGAGCAGTAAGTGCTCTTAACCACTGAGCCATCTCTCTAGCCCCCATACCTTTTTATGAGACAGGATCTCTTAGTGAACTGTAACTTGCCAAACAGGCAAGGCTAGTTGGCCAGCAAGCTCCAGGGACCTGCCTATCTCCACCTCTCAGCCCTGAGATTACAAACGCCTGGCTTTCAGGCCCTTTGTGTCAGGGGAGGGGCAGGCAGCTGGAATGGCTGTTGTAGCTCAGTGAACACCCTCTGGGCTGGTACTATAGTCCGTGCCTGGTAGAGACTCTGCAGTGAGGCTGGGGGCCTGCCCAGTTCTCCCTGGTCAAGAATGAGTCTATTGAGAGAGGGCTGCACTAGGAAAGGCATAGGAATAGCCAGGCATCAATGGTCTCAATGTGAGTTTGAGTGTCTCAGCCTTCATCTGTAAGTATTATACAGGCCCTTTGAACAGGCTATGTCTGAGGCAGGATAGAAAGTCGGGAAAATTAAGGGGACCTGGAAAGGGAAAGAAGCCCCTCACTCTGCAACCTGCTCAGGAGCCTGAGACTTTAACACTGTGCCTATAGTGCTTATCCTCAAATAAGGATGTTAAAACAACAAACCCAAGCCAGGGGTGGCAGTACACACCTTTAATCCCAGTACTTGGGAGGCAGAGGCAGGTGGATCTCTGTGAGTTCAAGGCCAGCCTGGTCTACATAGTGAGTTCCAGGACAGCTGGAGCTACAGGGAGACCCTGTCTCAAAAAGGCAAAACAGAACAAAATAAAACCAACAATAAACCCTGCTTAGGGTCAGAACATCTGAGGCCTTGAGTTTCTGTCAGCTCTCCTCTCTCATCCCTAAATCTAAACAGTGCATATCATACAATCACCCCAAAATCACATTTACAAAAGGCAATTCTTTAAGATGAGAGAAAAAGCAAACCAGTTCATTTTTTTTTTTTTTTTTTTTTTTTTGTACAGGGTCTCACTAGTCCCAGCCCACCTGGAAGTCACTAAGTGGATCAGGCTGGCCTCCATATCACACAGAGATCCACCTGCCTCTTCCTCTTGAAGGTTAAAGGTGGATTAAAGGTGCACGCCACCATACACAGCATCCGTTTATATATTTTTACTTAAGTTGTAAACATTAAGCTTTAACCTTTGCTTGAACTTTAAACTGTAAATTGCAGCACTGTAACTTAAGCCACAGAACGATACATGCGCGCGCACATGTACACACACACAAAATCTCTATTATAAAAACTAAAGGATTCTCTTTCTAAATGCCCCTGGCTTAAATCTAAAGTACCCACTATTCTCCTGATCTTTTAGAAAAATGTTTTATTTTTATTTTATTTTATGTGTATGAGCATACTGCCTGCATGTAAGTGCACCTGTGTCATGCAATGCCTGAGGTCAGAAGATGGTGCAGGGATCCCCTGGAATTAGAGTTAACGGAGGGCTGTTACCCACCAGTGCTCTTAACCACTGAGCCATCTCTCCAGTCCCCTATTATCCTCATAATAAAGTCACTATCTATGCTTCCTTCTGGCTTGTCTTGAAATTCATTCTTGCAGGATAGCCAAGGATCCTGCTTTATCTGAGCAGTGGTCCCTAAGGGGAAAGCCTTGGGCTGCTGAAGACTGCTGAGCTGTGCCCCCTCCCCAACCCCCACCACCATACGTCCTTAGGCAGTGGACTGGAACACAGCACGGGCCCCATGAGGCTCCTGACTCTGCAGGAGCTTAGGGACTTTGATCAACAAGCTAAAATGCTCCACACACAGATACAGAAAAAGGCTGACAGTGATAGAAAAGAATTCCAGAGGACAAAGGGAGAGAAGAGTCAGAAGTACTCTGGAAAGGGTGGTCAGGGAAGGCCTCTTAGAGAAGTGAGAGGGAAGAGAATCTTTGAAAGGAACCAGTCAATGAAAGTCTGGGTAAATCCAAGTGCAAAGACCTTGTCATGTCAGAGGAAAGGCAAAGGGGCCAGTGTGGAGGAGCAGATGGATGAGAGGGTGTCCGGAGATAAGGACAGAGAGGTACGTGCCCTGTAGGCTACAGAGTTCAGAATGAAAAGCAGAGAGTTCAGAATGAAAAGCAAGGCTCTGAATAGCGTGATTCTGAGGTTTAAGAGCACTTCCCTGCTATGGACACTGGCAAGATGGCTCAGTGGCTTGGAAGTGGCAGGAAGAGCGAACACACACACACACACACACACACACACACACACACACACACACACACACACACACACACACACACACGGAGAGAGAACCTCCTTGTGACCCAGAATAGAGCTTGGCAAAATGTGAGGTGGATGCCCCCACCCATCTAGGGTGCTCCTTGGGGGCATCTCAGTGGGGCGAGAAGAGGCGCTCAGACCAGTGAGAAGGCAACTGGGAGCACACTGGGAAAAAGGGGCGGAGCTGCTGCCATATTGAGCACTGACTGCAGCGACAGATGGCTTGTGCATTTCACATATGGAAAAGGAAAAGCCTATAATTATCCGTGTCTTTGTAAGGCACCCCCTCCCAAATGTCATATAAACTGCAAAAGCCAAACAGAATGTCTTATGTTGGTCATCAATCCATGTCAGGACCAGAAGACCCTGAGTGGAGGCAGGTCTCCCAGCAGGGAAAGGAAAATTCAGTGAAACACTCTTGATCTTGTCTCCACCTCCTGAGGACTAGGATTACAGGCATGCACAACACCCAATTTATGAGGTGGTGAAGACTGAACAGGGCTTCTGCATGCCAGGCAAGCACTCTACCAACTGAGCTACATCCCCAGCCCTTCATACATTTCTTACTTTTTTTTTAAGCACTGGGAATCACACTGAGGGCCTCATGCAGGTGAGGCAACTATTCTACCAATGAGCTAAAGCCATAACCCATGGAGATAAAGGACATAGCCTAGAGGCATGTTCTTAAAGAGAGATGGTGGGGGAGTCAAGAATCAAAGACAACCTGAACAACTGGTAGAATGGAGCTGTCAAGGATTAAGGTCCCTCAGAGAGGAGATTCAGAGGGCAACATTGACAAGTCAGGTTTGAGGTAGTTACCAGGCAGTCAGATAGCAGAGCAAGTCAACACTGCTCACATAGGTCTGGGGTCAGGAGCTATCTAAGCCAAGGAGCTATATTTTGCACTCTTTAAAATACAGATATTTAAAGCCTCAGAATGGATGAGCTCATCTGGCAGTGGTTTAAAGTGGTGGCATTGGGTAATGTGTGGACTATATGTGGTGTGAGGAATGGGAGCAAGAAAGGACACTACTGGATTAAATGGACACAATGAAGGACATAGTCTCTCATCATAGTTTCCTAGTCTATCAAAGCTTCAGTATGCTGAACACCAGGCACCCTTTCTGAGAAATGCCAACCCCGGAGCAAGAGTGGAAGAAAGGTTTTTTGTTTGTTTGTTTGTTTTTGGTCTTTTTGAGACAGGGTCTCCCTGTAGCCCCAGCTATCCTGGAACTCACTATGTAGACCAGGCTGGCCTTGAACTCACAGAGATCCGCCTGCCTCTGCCTCCTGAGTGCTGGGATTAAAGGTGTGCACCACCATGCCCGGCCCTGCTCTGGAACTTTTATCTTCTTCTGTTTTGTGTGGCTGGTTTCCTTCTCCTGGGTCTCCTGCTTTTCTGGCCTCTTACATGTCTATCAAACTCATTGAACACAAAGTTTTGTGTGCACCACCACGCCTGGCATAAGTGGAATAAAGTTTAGGAGAAGCAGAGGACTGAGCACTGGAGCCTGCCATCACTTGGAGGCCATGAAGATGAGCAAGAACAGTTAGGGACAAGGGAGGCAGCAAACAACCTCAAAGTCAAGGAAAGGCTATTTCTGAAATAGTAGTTGTTAAGAGACTATTTGTGCCTTAAAAAAATCCATTAAGAGAAGAATCAATAGTATTCTTTGTCTCAAACAAAAACTATTAGGCACCAGCTATGACCAAGAGAATGGGCTACAGGCCTGGAGCCCAACTTCTAAGAGATAAAGTGGTGTCCACCAAGCAACATAGAATGACTGAGAGGTGGAGAAAGGGGGGGGCTGTGCAGGACACTGGCTGGGGATGGATGGCCAGCCATGGGGCAGGATTTGGACAGGACCACTCTCAAAGAATGGGTAGAAGACTAACAGGAAGCACACCACTTGGGGCGGAAAGGTGAATGAAACATCAGGAACTCCACACACCTGGGTTGGCCCTGAGCTAGACCTTTAGTTCCCACAAGGCAGGCATTTGCTCTGAATTGTGGATGAGGAAATGTTAAAGCACTCAATATGAAGAAATGCCAGTTCTCAAACCCAGACGACCGTGGACACTTATAAGAGCTGACATTCTTTCAGCTATACCTTGTCTGATTCCTCAGCATGGTGTGAAAAGCCTGGAGACTGGTCTACAGTACTACAGCCTATGATCAGAGGACAAGCCTACAAGAATCCCTTAGAGCCATACTGGGGAGGTGTGGGGCATCAGACCTACGATGGCTCCACCTTGAGGGAGATGAGAGCTGAGGGAGGTTTCTGTACTATGGCAGCAAAACAGTTGAAATGTGTTTAGAAATACACATGGGGTGGCGCACGCCTTTGATCCCAGCACTCAGGAGGCAGAGGCAGGTGGATCTCTGTGAGTTTGAGGCCAGCCTGGTGTCTACATAGTGAGTTCCAGGACAGCTGGGGCTACAGGGAGACCCCATCTCAAAAAGGCCAAGAAAAGAAAAGAAATACACACGGGGGTAATGGGAAGGAAAAACACCAGTAGGAACACACAGTATCCAGAAGACAAGAGTGCTGCATTATCTCAGTACCATCAGAGGTGCTCAAGAGGTGCAGGGACATGGATGCAGAAGCCCGATATTCAGACTGGGCATAGCCCTGTGTAAGGAGCAAGATGTAAAATCCTCATCAAACCTACAGAAACACTTAGAATGAAACCTTCCCTAACTAATGTGCATCAGTATCCTACAGTTAAGATGCTTTTGGCACACAACAACAGAACTTCACAGGCCTCCTCACTGTGAGCATGCTGTCACAGGCAAGGACATCACAGGCCTCCCGACGTGGGCAGAACCCTGTAGAAAGCAGCTAACCCACACATGAGCTGTCAAGGACCTAAGTCACTGAAGAGCTATCTGAACGTCTTCCATCCCATCAGGAGAGGACAGTGGAGCATCACTGGCACAACATGAATTTCTCACAGAACCTGGTACACCAGGTCTCTTTTCTATTCATAACTGAATATGGAAACTAATATCAACAGAAAGAAAAAGCTCCGGAAATCCTTTGTGACTCACAGGTAGCCAGAGAAGGCCACATGAGCAAACCTAGCTCTTCCCCAGCAGGCAGAAGTCTGCAGATTTATTTCTCAGTTCCCTGTGTAAATCCTGAGGCATAATATAGTCAGACAATAAAACTCTTCTCTAAAAAAGCCCTTTAAAGCTAAAAAGACAGAGAACATTTTCAAGATGCTTCTTCTCAGTTCAAGTATTCGTGGTGGTAGGACAGAGCCCAGGGATCCCTACACATACTCCAGCACTCGGTTAGGTCCCCACCCCCAACAGTATACCTTTTTAACAATGAAAGTCTATTTTTTCTTGTTTGAACTCGAAAACACAGAAAGTGAACATTTCCCCCGTTCTTTCGGGGAGGCACAATACCGGGGCCTCAGGAACAGTAGGCAAACATTCTACCGCTGAGCTACACCTTTAGCCCCAATTCGTAGCTTCAGTGAAAATGCTGCAAAAAGTTTTCCCCTATCTCAAACTTGAGGGATTTTTCAAGGAAGCCCAAGGTAGGAAGGCCCCAACACTAAGTCTGCAGACAGCCCCGGAGTGCGGCCTCACCCGCGGCAGCTGCTCCCACTGCTCTTTGTTCTTCATCTCTTCCTGCACCTCATGGATCCGCTTCAGCGACTCCAGACTTTCATCGAGCAAAAATGTTGTGTCGTTTATCAGCATATTTATATAGCGAACGAACTGCTTCCCGGAACTGAAAAAGCAAGGTGATGAAGGTGATGGTGTATGGTCAGACATCTCCCCGAGTGCTGACCACTGGGAGACTGCCGATCACGGCACATCTCATGTACCTCAGATTTTGTAATCCCTTTTTTGTTTTGTTTTAAGAAGGGTCTATGTAGCCCAGGCTAGCTTCATACTGCTCTCCTGCCTCACCATAACATAGTAACGACCATGGGCACAAGCCTCCATGCTCAGCCTTACTATTTAACTGCGATATACTCATTCTGCTGGTGGGCTGGATCAACCTGCGTGCTAAGAGCCGACTGCTTAATACTCCAGAATTTTCTGAGCTGATTTCCTTGGCAGCTTAAATGTGACAACATTTACATAGTCACACTGTGGAAAACCAGCAAATGCTGAAGTTTCTCTCTCTAGAAAGCAGGCTGACTAGCACACTGCTAGCTCAGTCTCTTGGTGTTTTTAAGTAGAGCAAGCACTCTTCCAGGCAGGAAAGCAAATGTGCTTACACTCACTGTGATATATAATAAGCCAGCAGCAAAAATCATATAGCAGACAAGAGATTACTGATTAAAGTTACTCCTCATCACAAAGAAAGATACACTGGAAAAATAAGGACCTGTAATACTGGCAAAGGAGGACAGGAACACATGTTATAGGTCCTATGGCTTCGAGTCTAAAGAACCAGACTGTTAAGATTGAAGGGACTTATTGGTGAATTGAAATAGCCTGGCCTACCTGGTAAAGCCTGAAATGGACAGATTAGTGGAAAAAAGACAAGGTTGACTTCAGGACCTACCACGTTTAATTAGGGCAGAAAGCCCATGCCAGGGAAAGAGGTTTCTGTGAACCAGCACAGGAAACCTCATCTCAAGAACGTGGGCACACCAGACTTCCTAAAACTGCTATGCTGTGTAGATCAAGCTGGGACCCAGGTGGTCTTTTAAGCTCCTATCAGGCCTTTGCTGAAATGCAACTCATTATAAGAGCAGTTCATGGAAATAATTAGCTTAGCTCACTTTGTGAAAGGTATCTGGCAAACCAGTAAGCCACTGATAATATCAACTAGTAATTCAGTTAAGTAGTAACCCTAGACTTGATCGAAGATCTGACATGGGATGGGGAAGAATTTCTTTGAAGAATGAAACAAGGGTTCAACATTTATACTCTACTTTCTTCTTTTAAGCTAGTGATCTAGAGGAATTAATACTGTCCAGGTTTAACCAGGCTCTGCAATTTCAAGTAGGCACAGGAAAAGCAAGTGCAAAGTCATTAACTGTAGCTTAATGCCTGAGCACAACCAATGAACAAGGAATGATAACCCTGACTTCTAAAGACAGTTTTCCTAGTATCTCTAAAGTGTGATACTACATTCAAGAACATTGAAAGCTCCTGTTTCAATCATTCTGAAAACTTCATTTAACAGTCTATCATTCAAAGAAAACACACAAACATCATTTGGCACGTACATATTTAAGAATATTCCTTTATGTAAACCAGGCCCAATGTATGCTCACAAATCTGTAGCTCAGCCCTGCCCTGTAAGCACAGACAGTTAGATAGGTGGTCACCCCGAGCAGTACCTTGTGGCAAACTTCCAGGAGGCTGAAGCCAAGAAAACAGCCCACAGGAACCGGCTGTGAGAGCTTTCCAGTGGCTGTCCTACCCACCTGTGTTTTGAAGAGAGCAAGCTGTGACGTCAGGGGCCTACTACTCACTTGAACTCCTCCATGAAGGTGCCATGGTGAGCTATGTTTTGCCAAAGGCTTTTAAAAATGGTGCTAATGTGATAACGAATTGTGAACTTGTCGTAGAACTCGCTGGTGGCTCCAGTATGCTCGACATCTAAGGAAGAGAGACAGAGACTCAGACACACGCCCCTTCTCACCTTTCCAAATGTAGTTATTGCTGTGACAGTAATGGAGGAGGAACATAAATCTGTAGGATCAGAGATCCGGTGAAACTGCGCCTGAATCGCACATGTAAGGTGAAATTATGACCTGGTTTAAAGACCGAAGTTTCACAAAGAAAGTCTGGCAATGATACAACACCTAAAGGAAGGGCTGGGAGACCGGCATCCGAAGACAGCGTCAACTCACAAGGATCAAAAGCTCATTAATACATGTAAGGAAATTTCACAGAAGCTCAAATGCACACCTCGAGTGGGATTTTGTTGAAAGATACACTCCTATTAAATGTATCACTTTAAAGGCTTTTGTATCAGACACGTCCCACAAAGCAGAGACACTCACTCCTCCACCTCGACTCACTGCTCATTTACCTTCGAGCATCTTTGTACCTACAGGGACGAAGCAAAAATCAAGCTTGCTAATGTAAACAGCTAAAAGCTTAAGCATGCAACGTACCAGAATGCATTACAATTTTTTTTTGGGGGGGGGGTGTCTCTTTTTGAGACAGGGTCTCCCTGTAGACCCAGCTGGCCTGGAACTTGCTATGTAGAACAGGCTGGCCTTGAATTCATAGAGATCACCTGCTTCTGCCTCTTGAGTGCTGGGATTAAAGGCGTGCGCCACCACACCTGGCTGCATTACAAATTTTTTTTGTTGTTATTTTTATTTTATGTGTATGACTGCATTGCCTGCATGTGTGTAAAGACACCCGTGTCCTGCAATGCCCGAGGAGGACATAAGATGAATTCCCTGGAACTGGAATTACTGACAGTTGTTAGCTGCCATGTGGGTGCTGGGATTTGAACCCAGGTCTTCTGCAAAAACAGCCAGTGTTCTTAAATGCTGAGCCATTTCTCCAGCCCCACAAGTTACCATTTTTGGCCCATCTAATTGGCAGACATTACAGAAATGACAACATTCAAGAGAGGTAAGGATTTGGGGAAACAGGTTCACTACACATGCTGGTGTGAATGAACAGTGAGACAATCTGGTACCAGGTACGGTGGCACTCGCCTGTAATCCCAGCACTCAGGAGGCAGAGGAAGGAAGATTAGGAGTTCAAGGCCAGCCTCAGCTACATAGCAAGTTGGAAGCCAATCTGGGATACATGAGACCAGGTACAAAACAAAACAGAACAAAACAAAACACTTAGAACAACCCCAATCCCCAACAATTTAGCAAAATACAGCAGAGTCATCAGAAGCCTTTCCTCTGGACTACCAATTCTCCTCAAGAAAGAGTATACAAGTATGTTCAAAGACTGATTTCCAAGCATGCCCGACAAAATACATTTATTTTTATTTTTACAGTACTGGGGACTGAATCCAGAGCCTTAAGATGCTAGACAAGTGTCCTACCACTGTGCTACATATAAATGCTATCTTCGCTAGAGGAAAAAATACATCTAAATAATAGGAAAAAAGAATCTAAATGTCCAAGAAGGAATATGAAAACCCGTATTTTATCCATTAAGTGAAAACCAGAGCTTACCAAATAAAATGTACAGCTTGGGCCCAATGATAGTTCTGCTCTTTAGTTTGCTTTTTTTTTTAAAAAAAAAAAACAAAACAAAACAGGGTCTCACTATGTATCCCTGGCTGGCCTGGAACTTGCCATCTAGACCACAGTAGTCTAGAACTCAGAGACCCACCTGCTTCTACCTCCCAAGTGCTGGGATTAAAGGCCTGTGCCAACATACTCAGTCATGATACTTATTTTAGGGGCTGGAGAGATGGCTTAGTGGTTAAGATGTCTTGATGTTCTCACAAAGGACCTAGTTTCGGTTCCCAGCGCCCACACGGCAGTTAACAACTGTATGTAACTTCAGTTCCTGGGGAGCCAATACCCTCTTCTGGCCTCCATGGGCACTACATGCACATGGTACACTTATCTACATGGAGGTAAAATACTCATACACATAAAATAAAAACAAATAAATAAAGGTGAATGGTAACAAGCCAGTTATGATAGTTGTTTTTTTTTTAAGTGATTGAAAAACTAGGTGTGGTGGCACACGCCTGTAATCCCAGCACTCAGGAGGCAGAGGCAGGTGGATCTCTATGAGCTGCAGGCCAGCTGGGGCTACAGGGAAACCCTGTCTCAAAAAGACCAAAAATAAAAGTGATCCAGGGCTAGCAAGATGGCTCAGCAGGTACAGGTAGAAGTGTTAGCCACAAAACCTGATTTCAATCCCTGGAACCCACATGGAAAGAACTAACTCCTTAAAGCTGTCCTCTGACCTGTGTTTACACAGACACAGAAACAGACACAGACACACATGCAAATAAACAAATAAAATGTAACAAGAAAAAAATGTTAAAAGTGATTGGAAAGATACATAGCAAAGGCCAGATGTGCTGGCATATGCTTTTATCCTAGCGTACTTGGGAGGCAGAGGCAGGTAGATCTGAGAGTTTGAGGCCAGCCTGGTGGACACTATGTAGGGATAGTGAGACCTGCCTCAAAATAAATAAATAAATAAATAAATATTTAAAAATAACTCAAAAAAAAAAGCAATTAAAAAAAATTTTTTTTAAAAAGTGGGGACAGTGAGATGCATCACTATGCAAGTCTGGTAACATGAACTCAATCCCCGGAACCCACATAAAGGTGGAAAGAGAGAAGAGACTCCACAAAGTTGCCCTCTGACCTCCACACTACACTGTAGCACAAGTAACACGCCCACCCCTCCAAGTCAAAAAATATATATAGAAAGAAAAACAAAATTATACATAGTAAAGTGTTAACCAAGACTTGGGATACGGAGATTATTAAGAACTTTAATTCTTGGTAATTTATTTTTCCCTTCTGCAGTACTAAGGATTTTTTCCTTCTGTAGAACCGAGGATTGAACCCAGAGTGCCTGGTGCGTGTTATACAAGCTTTCTATGCTAAGCCACAACCCCTGCCTTTCTTGGTATTTTTTATACACACACACCACACACACACACATATACATACATACATACATGTATATATATGGGAAGGGTACCAAATGCCAGCTGTTTAATAAGAAAAAGACAAGACATTTCTATTGTGCTAAGATCTAAATGTATCGACTCATTAAGCCAACTTTTCCTTAGATGAACTAAGTGCCATTTTATTGTGTAAACATGTGAATTATGGTGTCCAAGAAGCAGAACACTAGAGGCCAGCACAGCCGTGGTGAGCATCTACAACTGCCCATGTCTGGGCTACATTCCAGATACAGTCCAAGCCAAGCACTGCTATGTACTCAGTACCCATCAGGGTGTTTCTCTCTCAACATCTTTGTTATTTGCTCTTGAGGTTCTCTCAAAATCATACCTGCCCAAGTTCCAATTTTCAAGTCCTAACTCCAGAAGTCTTAAATGAACCTGAACCTTGCTAAGCTTACACACCTCACCCTGTCTGAGCCAATCTCCCTGCTCTCTTTTCTTCTGATTTGATCTGTTGTCTGAGCTGCAAGGCTGCTGCCTCCTTTCTCTGCCACTTATTAATTGCTCGTGTTGGCATCATACCCCACCACCTTTCCTGAAGCAGCCTGCTCTCACACCTACCGTCTCTAGCCCTATCACCTGCTCTGCCCTGCACCTGCCTCCAAAGGAGGGACTTGGTGTCTTCACACCACAGGCACAATGTAAATATTCACTCAGTCAGTGATAAAATCTGCTCTGGCCGCTGGCCTTGAGCAGTTAGACAATAAAAATGCTCTCAGTTTGAAATCTAATTTTATTTTTGAGGCGAAGCTTGAGCAAAAACATTTCCTAAGTTGGAATACTATCTCTGACCTGAGAGTAGCTCATGCAGTGATTGATCTTGGCTAAGCAGTTCTAATTCAGGGATAGGATGGAACTGGTAGATCTTGATGGGGGTAGGGGGTGGATGGACTTATGGGGAGTGGCTGAGGCTTCCTGCAGGGTTGAAGTCCCTTGGGAACTAGAACAGCTGAGCAGCTAGGCACACTTGTGCTAGAACTGAGCTGCTGACCTTCAGCAATCTTCCTAACCTTTCTGAGTTTTGGTTTCCACATTGTAACATGGAGGTATTTATAGCACCCATCTTTGGGACTGCTATGTGGATCAAGTGAACAGATTATAAGTATTCAATGGCTGGTGACTATTTTTGGGAAACGTATCATCTATCTGTGATACAGAGGTGGCTCAGGTCAGAGGGCACACTGCTCCATGACAAAGGAAAAGAGGGAATACTTGGGAGATTCTTGATGATGCTAGTGGGAGGCACTAGGCTAGGCAATGCTCCCACAGTATGTACACACACACACACACAAACACACAGATTATCATAAAGCCACAGTGATAGGCTCAGGCATGTAAACTGACTACTGAGTATATTGTAAATAAAATTTGTTTTTCTAAAGATACATTTTAAAAATGAAATTGATTCACCTAGATTTTTTTAAATTTTTAAATTATGTATATGTGTGTGTG